ACGTGGCAATTTTTTAATATTATTTTTATTATTTTGAATTCTTCTTTTCTTTTCTTTTCTTTTTCGTTTTCCCTTTCTTTTTCTTTTTTCCTCATCTTCATCTTCAACCTCTAGCCGGTCGCCGGGGCGAGCTCGACCTCGCCAGATCTGGCGAGGGCTCGTCCTACCCTAACAACGGCGAGGTTGAACCTCGCCAAGGGCGGGTGAGGCCAACCTCGCTAGTTGCCGGCAAGGACGACCCTGATGAGGTTGGCCTCGCCTAGCGACAACGTCCATGTTAGCACCGGCCGGCCAAAATTGGCCAGATGGATTGAATTGGCACAAATGCAAAAGTTTTAGGACTAAATTGGCACAAAAAAAAGGTCTAGAATTGAATTGGCACAATTGCAATAGGTTTAGGACTGTTTTGGTAATTTTTCTTAAATTAGAGTGATTTACTAATTTTTCTCTTATTGTAACAAATAAGTTTGATAACCAACTTCTATTTGAGTTACTGACCAATGTTTAATTGTGTTTAAATAATTTACATACTATCTGACCAAAAATAATAATAATTTACGTATTAGTCTATTGAGTTATCAATTTTTAGCAATCCCTTACATTTACTAACTCTTTTTAGAGAAAACCAATCTTAGTTACTGTGAGCAACAAGTTTTCTCTTATTAAACTACCAACAAGTCACTGAAAAAAAAATGGGCTAATGCCTTAGGCAAAGGCGACGATATTTTTTTGTCACGAATCGTTTATTGGGTTTGCTCCATCGCCTTTACCTAAAGCAACAATTTTTTTTGTTGCTTTTGGTACTTAAGGCAACAAGACAAATCGCCTTTAAAAGCAAATGAGACAAAATAAGGTTCTCTTGCTTAAAGGCAAATTCATTGTTTTCGTCGCCATAAACTTATCTAAGGCCATGAGAATTTGTCGCATTTGTCGAGTCTATGGCTTTGGTAAAATTTTTGATGCGTTAGATTGATTTTTCAGGTCAGACTTGCATACGAGTCTAGTTCTCCCCCTTAGCCCAAATTCAACCCAGCCGACCAAAAAACAAGAAACACTTCAACCTAGCTGCTTCAAAAGAACAAAAATTAAGTTTCAAATAAAATAAGGAATGCTTGTATAATAAGAGAGTTGTAATAAGTAGCTCATCGACATTGCTGGCTCAATGAGTAGTTTCTCTTCAAGACAAGAAAGGAAAAAGAAAAAGACGAAAGGGAAGGAAGAAGAAGGGATGGAGGAGAAAGAAAAAGGACATGCCTGTTGCTTTTGGAGAATGTCTTTGGAGAAATGCAAATACCTTTGGGTTGAAGGAGTTATCCAAAAAGTAAATAGTGTTTGGTAAACTGTATTTTAAAAACACATTGAGAAGCACTTTGACCTAAATGTCGTTTGGTAAAAACTTCACTTTGTACTTTTGCTAATTTATTTTAAAGAAAATCTCAAACTATTTGCCGACGGAACTTAACCATCGAAGGCCAGATCTAGCCGTCAGCCAGCCTCACTTGAGGTCGCCTGACCTTAGGTGAGGCTTGGGTCGCACAGCCCCAGGTGGTGTCGCCTTGGTCACGTAACCCTAGGCGACTGTCACCTGGGGCTGTGCGACCTAAGCAACAATCACCTGGGGCCGTAACGGCCGTTTGGGGCCCGGCAACCTTAGCCGATGCTTGGGTCACACGACTCAGGCCTCGCCTATGGTTGCTCAACTCCAAGCAGCCTTGCCTGAGGTCGGGTGACCTGAGGCGAGAGTAGCAATGGCTTGTTAGTGGCTCGCCGATAACTAAGACCTTCGCCGCAAGCTAGGGTTTTTGAGAACGTTTCTAGAATTATGAAAGTTGAGTGAGGGCAAAGTTGAAAGAAAAAAAAAGTCTATTTGCATTATGAGAATGCTACTTTCTAAGGTACCTCCGGACCTGCTTTGAGCTATGGGTGAGCAAGATGGCAAAGTTGAGTGAGGGCAAAGTTGAAAGAAAAAAAAAGTCTATTTGCATTCCGAGAATCCTACTTTCTAAGGTACCTCCGGACCTACTTTGAGCTATGGGTGAGCAAGATGGACCGCTCAAATCGGGACCGGACCGGACCGACCAGTTTGGTCCGGTTCTCGAGAATATTGGTCTGGTTCCCGGTTCCTAAAAGTGGAACCGATTTCTGGGCGGTCCGATTCCCGGTTCTAGGATGGGAACTGGACCGGACCGGACCGATAAATATATATTTTTCTAATTTTTCATATATATAATATTTAATATATATGTATGAAAAATATTTAATATTGGTCCCATTGGAATCGATTATTCAATTTTTTCATATATTATATATTTTCCAATTTTTTCCATAGCCTTATGAGATCAAATCAGAATTACAAAGGAAAGAACAGAACAATCGGCTCCCGGTTCACAAATAATATTTAATATTGGTCCCATTGGAACTAGACCGGACCATCGGTGCGGTCCGGTCCATAGTCCCAAGACTAGTCGGTCCGGTCCTAGAAACTGAGAACTGGTCCTCCCGGTCTGGTTCCCGGTTCTTGGGTTGGATCGGACCGGACCGGGAACCGCTCACTCCTACTTTGAGCTAAAGGCTTTGAAAATGCAATTAAATTTCCCCAAAGTTGAGCAAAAAACAAAAGAAACGCCATTTGCATTTGGCCAATGAACTTTAGACCCCAAAGCCCTTTTGCAAGGTTGAACCAAACGGGCCAACATTTGATGAGTTGGGAACGTGATGGGATGTGACATGGGTTGGCTGAATTTGAGGTTCATGGTTTTGTTCAGGCTCTGGCAACTGAAATTTAGAGTTGGGACTTTTTGGTTGAAGGAGTCGGGACTTTGACACGTGATACAATATTCACATGTCAGTGATAGAAGAGCATTGTCAATGTGCGTCATGTGTTAGGAAGCAAATAGTAATGCCGTTGCCGGGCCAAAGCCAAACCTTACCCTTTATTGAATTTTTGTTGACAAATCAAACAATCAATTTTTGGTATAAGTAAAAATAAATGATAAAAAAAATGAATGAGTAAAAAATGAAATAAATAAACAAATACATAAATAAATAAATAAAATGGAGAGACCAATTCGGATTCTTGAGTAAAAAGGCCTACCTAGAACCTTGGAACCAACCCATCTGACGGCCGTGAACCTTAAAATTTCAGTCCATGCTTAAACTAGGCTAAGTTGGGCTCATTTGAAGGAAATTCGCCCACTGAAGCCCAAGAGCTGGCCCATTTGAAAAAGAGAGAAGCCCAGGAGTTCTCTCTCTCTCTCTCTCTCTCTCTCTCTCTCTCTCTCTCTCTCTCTCTCTCTCTCTCTCTCTCTCTGTGAAAGAACACGAGCAACAGAGCACGTGAGAGAGAGTGAACGATGTAGAATGGAGTTGCGAACTACATCACCGTGAATCGAATAAATTTCAATGAACGGGGCGAATGCGTGCAATTGTCTGCAATCGAGCACACGGATTCTCCCGAAGCCCTAAACAGCATGCTCCAGCATGGCTGTGAAGTCTTTTTGCCTAGTACTAGGCTGGACATATTTAATTGGGGAGGTAAATTGAGTTTGAAAAGATTTGAACTCAGAACTTTCTTGCTCTAATATTATGTGAGATTTCGTGGAATTACTGCTAACTATTCTAAAAACTTAAGATATTAGATGAAGGTATTTAATATTTGAATATTCTATCATCGTCATCAGTGGCCTGGCATAGTACATTGGAGGAGTGGCTTCAACTAAGCATAACAGCCTATGGCTTGTTTTTTTTTTTTTTTTTTTCAATTTTTCTATTATTTTAGCGCTTATGTTTCTATGGCTTGATATGGTGCTTATTAGGTGCCATATTTGCGCCACATGTCTTAAGAAAATAATAAAAATAACCACACTAGCAATTTCCGTTGGTCAAATTAAACGGAGTTAACTAAGAAACTTGACTACATATATCTAACAAATTTTAGGGTTTGATTGCACTTTTTTAATATTTTAGGACTCAATTTCATTTTCACGATAAGTTGTAAGTCTTCTAATGTACTTATCCAAATCTTTTTTTCTTGTCATGAATTAGGTTATGTGATATGCAATCAAGTGACATGTGAGCAAAAGGACATAAAGCAAAGAGTCCCATATGCTTAAAAGACGGCTCTCATACCATATGAACTCTACGAGGTGAAAACTAAATGTAGTAATTAACTCTATTTTCTTTACATTACCAAAATTCGTTCTTACAATTACAAAGGAAAAGTAATCCAGGATGCTCCATGTCATAACTTCTTTAGATTTGGGCCATTAACTTCTTTATCTTTGAACCCAGATTTCGGGCAAGGCGTAGACAAAGGGAGAGAAAACTAATCCGAGGTGATCCTTGATTTAGTGAAGTTCTTACAATTACTTTTCTGTTCTCATACTAGAAGGAAGTGCTTTTCACTAAGTAGATGAAATTCATGGATGACCGAAAAAAAACAGCAACAAGAATATACAAATTCAAACTTAATATTGGTCAACGCAAGAAGAATGCATAACAATTCTTGATTTTCTTTGCATCAAATGAAACTCAACCTGTATAGGATGTTGCCCAAGGGTGACTGAGTAGGTATTGGATCTGTTGTATATATATATCTAAACTAGACGCAACATTTGACCACTCCCGCAATATTTGGGACTTTTGTTGTTCTTTTGTTCCACCCGAGGTAATATAATAAGATAATTTGCGCGTGTATATAGTGTTGAAAAGGAAAAATCCAACTATATATCGAATAAATGCAATTGAAAATTAAGAAATGCACATATATAAGTTTGAATGGTGGGACGTGTCTCGATTGACTTTTACCTTTTGCTTTTTACTTAATCAAAATTTTTCGATGCACTCGCTTTAACTTTTGTTGATCTAAAATATTTGAAACTTTGGAAGGGCGCAGATCTCGTTACGTAAATTCATTCTCGAATTTCTTCATAATTTCTTAAACTTTAGATAGTATTTTAAATTTTTCTTAATAGCCCAAACCAACAAGCCAATGATTTGTATCTTGATGACTCATCCACCAGAGCCAAAGCTCCTCACAAAAAAAACGGAAGGATGAGCTGACAGGACCCGACCACATTATTTATTGGGTGACAAATCTGGATTGGTTCGAGTACTATTAACCCAACGACCAATTAAAATTAGCTAGAGAGGGTAATAAGAGATCCATCTGTCAACCATTGCAAGACATTCTTTGGGTTTATACTCCGGAGCTGTGTGTCCCCCTCCCTGCACCACCAAAAAATCAAAGAAAACAAAAACGAAAGCAATAGTTAGAATTTCAAATAATCAATTTTCGAGACATATACAATTGTAAAATGATAAAAAAAAGTATATTTAGAGCAGAGGAGTTGGTCCTACCTTGATTGTTGTAAATGTCAAATCATACTTACTATTCTCCGAATATAATATAGAGTATCTGTCCAGATAAATTAAGAAGAAATTAATAGATATTCACATGAAATTTAAAATAAAATTACAGAACCGAGGATGAGTACTCGGATATTAATGAGATAATTTGTAAGAAATTCATGTTTTTTCTAACTCGAATTGACCAAATTAACCATTTGAGGCATTTAAGCAACAGAATCCGCATGACTTCTTAATATGTTAGAAGACGTTATAGTATTTTGGACTTTCTATGGTTGACAAGTTAAGTGATAACATAGGTTATACACAAAAACCAATAAGAGTAAGAAATAAGCCCATTGGCGTGGTTTCTTTAACAACATGAACTGGGGAATACCAATTTTTAAGTCAAAGGCTCAGTCCGATCCAGAACAAGAGCAAACCAACAGCTACACCCACATTCTAGAGAGACAATCCCACAATGTCACATGTTCGAAAATTGGAAAACCCCAATCTATCAAAGTAAGTATAATTAGTCTAGAATCAACCATTCGAGGCAAGATACATTTGAGATAGATAAAGCTGTTATTTTATCAATTTCACTTCTCTTAAGCTCAGACTAGCTTGAATGTCGGAGGGTCCCAAAAAATCCATCCTTTAGGGACCTTCTTGTTTGTGATGTGCAGAGGGTGTAGAGTCAACAGCTAACCGAATGAGTAACAGGCATGAGGAAGGTTGAGTTGCGTGTCAATCCAAATTTGACTATTATGGTTAACTAGACTCTATTGGTTGAGCAGCGTTGATAGATCGCAAGCTGATTATGATTGTCTCAGTATATCACTAAAGAAAATGAATTCTATTTCTACGAGTGCAACCAATACCATTTACTTTACTACAGTGGGAGACAGTCAGAGTGAGTTAATTTATGTTTAGAAATCTAATTGCGATTTGGTACAATGTTTTTCAGGTTAATTATGGTTCTCAACATAGACAAGTGATGGAATTTGATGAGCAAAGTTTATGGTACATACTTAGATCTAGATGGACGTTGTTCACATTGAATAAATACGTTCATAATCGAGAAGAAGACGATGATCAAGTAAAATGAATTCGACAAAAAAGAAAGTAATCAGTGATTTTAATGAATTAGGATAAAATTATTACCCGGCTACTTGACCTTCCACAAACCAAGGCGACCACGGACCAAGTAAAGTCAAATTGAGTGAGCTTATCCAATCCAGCGTACCCACATACGGAATAGCCATGTCATGATCACCACTGCAACAAGAGTACTTTTCGTCAACAAAAGAAAATGTCTCTGATGTTATGTGAAAAAGCAAATAAATTATAAAAGAATTTGAACCAAGATGAGAAACTTATCCATTTAGCTAACGCAGTACCTGTAAATTAGGGCGCGGAGGGATGTCTTAGAGAGGTATCTATGATAGACTACACTATTAAGAACGTCCTTAGTGTAAGATATACTGTAGTTGCATCTATCCCACTCTGGCTTCGTGCCCTGAATGTCATTGTCAGGTAATCAATATAACTACATAAATGTCGGTGATGGCCGCGAAAGAGAATGTTTCTTCATACCTCTCGTATGTGAAGGGCTTCTCGGACATTCCTATCGTTGGCCCAAATGTAAGCATACAAGTAGTTATAGCTCTGTTGACGGGGAAATTTAAGTAAGTGAAACCATCGCATTAGCTATTTATCAAAATCCATATGTCCATCTTATATTGTGTTACACATATAGATAGGTGCTATACTTTTAGATACTGAATTCATGGGTTTTGAAGGTGTTAATTTAGGATGTACCCGACACCATGGCCTGGATTGTTGAGGCACCAAGACAATGTTGATGAGATTCTCTTCAAGTATACTTCTGCTCCATCTTAGCCTTGTATGGTTAGGAGATATGACACTACATATCGGTTCCAGTATGTGACCCAAAAATATCTTCTCAAGGCACTAGAAAATTTCACAAGGAAACATATCTCGGTGATTTCTCGCATACATACATCTTGCATAAAAAGTTATGAAAGAAGTTGATGTTATAACAATAGCACTTACTATTGACACCATTTCAAGGTCATGCTGCTCATTGGTAGGATCTACATTCACGTAATCTCCATTGCAATCCGTTTTCGTTGACTTGAAAACATGAATGCAAAATTAAAATCACAAGATCGTCGATTCATATGTAATTATTATTACTAATATATTATATTCTTTGATAATGTAGAGATCTTATCAAAGTTACGTTATGTTGTAAATTCACCTCGTAAAGTTCATCTGATATGAGAGCCGTCTTGTGACCGAATGGAATTCTTTGACTAATGTCCTTTACCTCACAAGTCACCGGATTGCCTAGCACATAACCCTGTTCATATAACCACAATAATGTTGCTTTACTCAACATATATGGCTTAGTATTAACAGATATGAAGTTCAAATGTTGAGGTAATAGGAGCATACATACGAGTTTTCACCTTAGTGTGAAATAGGAGAAGAGCACACGAAGCCTAACATTTTTAAATATCGTAGAAGATTAATTTATAAAGCAAAATCGACAAGATTATTACATACTTGGAGATTCATCGGCGGCTCGCGTCCAGCTTCATTGCCTATACAGAAATGCAAGTAGAGTCTTTTTTATGAAGAATATGACTTCTTGATAGCAAGAGAGACAAATATCAAGTAATTAATTTGAAAATAAAACTGTTAATGAGAGTAAACTTCAATTACTCACCATCGTATAATTCTTTAACAATGATGGGAACAAGGACACCGGAATAAGAATCACCGGTGATGTAAAGCTGGTTTGTGAGGTACTTGGGATGAGCCATAAGCCACTACATCAAAAATTAAATTAATTAAAAAAAAAAGGAACTGTACTGATCCAGATAATTAGCTATGATAATTGCCTTAGGGGCATCTGATTATGTTGAGGTAACATAATATTGGTATGTTTGTGTTTAGGCTACCTTTCTTAAGAACTCATATGTTTGTGCTGCCGAGGAAGTGTCGCTACTATCGTATGCTGTATATCTCGTTGCATATGAAAATCCCGTACCCACGGGCGCATCCAAAAATATAATGTTGGCTATCTGTTATAAGAAAAAGCGACAACTTTTGATCCCGAAAAGTTTAACAATATTAACCCTAGTTAAAAATAAAGGCAATTTACCTTTGTCCAGGAATAGGGATTTAACTTGAACACTGGTTTATTTCCGCTAGAATGTGAATAATCAAACTGCAAAGGACCTGTGCGAAAACATGCAAACATCAAGATCATGGGAGATCCACATCATTCAAAAAGGTTTTGCTCTCGACCGATATGTTGATTTTCAGTTGATAGGGAGTTTTCATCCATAATAAATCCAGTATGCCCCAAACTAAAGTATATAGAAAATTGTTTTCTAATTTAAGTTAAATGTCACAATGCCAGAGAACAAACTAAAATCACGTTGCCCAGACAGCAACATCACATAAGCGCCGCAAGATAAGGGCAGCAGTAGCATAAATATAGCAAAGTATCACTTCTGGCGACATTTGGTCTAAATTGAAAAAGTAGCTTTCTTAGAGTTAGAGACTATAGCTAGAAGAAAAAGCTTCAATGAGGAGTATATTTCAAATGCAAACCGTTGAAAGTATGAAAGTTCACGTCTAGTGTAGTTGAAGATTCATTTTCCAAATTCATGATAGCTCATGTTACAGTAGAAAAAAATGAAAATGCAACCGTAATGAGTCTACCCAAGAAATTGTTGTCTGTACCCATAACATTTGGGTCCTATTGAAGATATTTAGAAATCTTTTATGAATATTTAGGATATTTCCTCTGATTTTCTATATCTTTTTTGAATATGTATATTATATTTGATTTCATTTGATTTTCTCTATCTAAGCCTATAAATAGGCTCTCTATATACTCTTTTCAATATATCGAAATATATATAATTTCTCACATTTCTCTCTTCCGCAATTCTTATATTTAACTCGGCATCAGAGCCTCTTTTCCTGAGGCAACTTGGTGCACCGGGTGCATCTCACGCACCCCAGAAATTTCCCAAATCCTATTTTTTTCACTTTATCATTCTCAGTGCAGAATAAATCCATCCCAATCATTGTTGTTCAATAGTGTTCACTTGGTGCCCACAAGTTTCATATGAGGAAGCACTTAATCAAGTCCGCATAGTGTTTCGATGCTAATCGCACTGATCGCGTCACCGGTCTAGCCTTTTTCATGGAGATGACTTTCTTTCGATGCTAGCCGCATAGGCCGCATCCCAGTAACTCTTTTCCAAACTAGCTGTATAGGCTGCTTGATGTTACGATGCCAGCCGTATAGGCTGCGTCGCTTAGTTACTATTTTGCAAGCTAGCCGTATCGGCAGGCCGCTTGCTGTTTTCCCTCTGATTCTGGACCTTTCACGTATCGTTTCGAGAAGCTGAAACCACCATCAGACTCGCTCAACTTTAGATAAGCCAAATGCTGCCTCACTCACCGCCCCGTCCCAGATCCACCAAGCCCGATGCCATGCAGCGTCGTTGGAAAAACAAGTTTTCGTAGCATTGTTCGACAATAATTCAAACTCAAGGTGACTTAGTCACTATGAGTTTGAGGGGGGATGTTGAAGATATTTAGAAATCTTCTGGGAATATTTAGGATATTTCCTCTAATTTTCTATATCTCTTTTGATTATACATATCAGATTTGATTTCATTTGATTTTCTCTATCTAAGCCTATAAATAGGCTCTCTATGTACTCTTTTCAATAAATCGAAATATCGAAATAGGCTCTTTATGTACTCTTTTGCAATTCTTATATTTAACTTGGTATCAGAGCTTCTTTTCCTGAGGCAACTTAGTGCATCGGGTGCACTTCGCACCCGATGCACCTCACGCACCCTAGAAATTTCCCCAATCCTATTTTTCCGCTTTATCATTCTCAGCGCAGACTAAATCCATCCCCATCATTGCTGTTAACAGTGTTCACTTGGTGCCTGCAAGTTTCATATGAGGAAGCACTTAATCGAGTCTGCATAGTGTTTCGATGCTAATTGCACTGATCGCTTCACCCGTCGAGCCTTTTTCATGGAGGTGGCTTTCTTTTGATGCTAGCCGCACATGCCGCATCCCAATAACTCTTTTCCAAGCTAGCTGTATAGGCCGCTTGATGTTACGACGCCAGTCGTATAGGCCGCGTCGCTTAGTTACTATTTCGCAAGCTAGCCATATCGGCCGCTTGCTGTTTCTGTTTCCCCTCTGATTCTCGACCTTTCACGCATCGTTTCGAGAAGCCGAAACCACCACCAGACTCGCTCAACTTCAGATGAGCCAGATGCTACCTCACTCACCGCCCCATCCCAGATCCACCAAGTCCGATGCCATGCAGCGTCGTTTGGAAAAATAAGTTTTTGTGGCATTGTTCGACAATGATTCAAACTCAAGGTGACTTAGTCACTACGAGTTTGAAGGGGGATGTGAAGATATTTATAAATCTTCTAGGAATATTTAGGATATTTCCTATGATTTTCTATATCTCTTTTGATTATGCATATCGGATTTGATTTCATTTGATTTTCTTTATCTAAGCCTATAAATAGGCTCTCTATGTACTCTTTTCAATATATTGAAATATATATAATTTCTTACATTTTTCTATTTCGCAATTCTTATATTTAACTGGTCCATCTACCATGGACCTGCTAGATTATATGGGTCTCACATGTGGCCCACTTTATCAGACGGTAGATATGGGCCTTGGCTCACATGTACCGCTAGACCATCTGGGTCCCCTTGGGGCCCATCTCATTCATCAGTGGATGTGAGCTGGGCTCTCACGATTCAGATTCACGTAATATTTTATCGTGGGACATGCCCCCATTAAGAAGAAAATTATTGAAGAAGTGTACGATGCCTTGGGAGCCCACCCGAATTAAGTTAAAGTAATTATTGACATGTGTAGGTACAACATGAGTAAAGACTAGAGCTGGAGTACGGATATGAGAAATTATTGTGTGAGTGGGATAATTTGGACCACTGAAAACAGCAAGTTCTGAACCACTAGGCCACTCTTCCTAAGAGAAGAACGCAATTCGATTCCCCACTTTCTTAAGGAGGCTAGAGGTGATGATGTTTAGTTTCAGATGTGGGTTTCGACTCCCATGTTTTGCAGAAAGGCATAACAAAAATCTAAGAGTGAGTTGAGAGTTAGAGTAGGACAGATAAAAAAAAAAAAATCAAGTCCTATGAAATCTGACTGTTCATATTCATTTAACTTGAATCGGCTGAAAATGGAAAGAACAGGAGAGTTCGTCTAGAGTTCGTGCCCAGCTCATTAAGATCTCGTCAGAACTTTGTTGGCGAACCGGTTCAATCAGCAGGCGCATTACATGACTCATCTGAAAGGAAAAAGAGCCACAGAAAACAGAACATTGCTTGTGCCGTGATCTTTTGCAGATTGGAGTTTGGGGGGGGGGGGGAGCTCAATGACTGACCATCTTAATCATTTTTATCTAGTCTAATATAGCATAAACTGATAATCTTCCAAAAAAGAGAGAGAAAAGAAGGCTATCGAAGCTTAAGTGCCACCAAATAATAGTAATATCGCAAGGAAGAAGAAGAACGACGATGACGAGTGAAGGAACTGAAGAGAGAGAATGCACCTATTTCGAAGAGGAGGCCGGACAGAGCAGAGCAACCCGGACCGCCGGTTAGCCAAAGCAGCAAGGGGTCGTCCTTGGGGCTCCTCTCGGACTCGATGAAGTAGTAAAATAGCTGCACTTCCTCCAACTCTCCTACCCCTACGTATCTGCACCAGTTTTGTTTCACCTTCATTCAAACAAACATTAAGAAGAAAACACTCATATATATAACTCTTGAAGATGAAGAAAAGAAATAGCGAATCAAGTCTTTCGCTACGTCATCGTTGCTCATAAACATATACTGCAAGCTGACCCAGTTTCGAGTTTAAAGGGAAGATCTCCGGGGAAACCCGGGAGGCTCCCGACGATCGCTGATTGTGATCGTCCAACGTTGGAGATCAAGAGCAGCAATGGAAGTAGGAGATGCAACATTCTTGGCTCGTCCAACCAAGAAAAACGGAAGAGAAAAGAGAATAGGCAAATTTCTGTAAGATTCTTCCTTCCTCTGGGTGGAATTCTAGGGGTTATATAGGCTTCGCGGCTTTGTAGACCATCCATCCCCTGGTCTGTAGAATAATTATCACCGTGGCCTTTTAACAAGTGCATTTGAGCAATAACATTTTAGGGATGTGGAAGCACAACTACTCGCCTATCGAATTGATTTCCAAAATAGTGCGATCGATTGGAATTAGGTACTCAATTATGTACGCCATATTTCTAAAGAAGCGAATATGCTAAGCATGAAAGGATTGATTTACAATATCGATTTATAAAATGATGTGATCAATTCTAATTTGACGTTTGTTGGGCCATTTGCGAAACATATCCACTTACAATTTATCCAATTATTTTGTAGAAGAACTCTGGAAGCTAATCTTCATATATTTGGTACCATGCCATTGAAGCTCTTGATATAGTGAAAAAGGTTTGTCATGGTTACTTACTTTTGCACATTGTTCATACTATTATATGAAGCAAAAAGGACATCCTACTAGTAAGGGACATCATGCATTTCTTTTTCTTTTCAAAATGTCCTTAATTACTCATTTTAAAAATATTGAATTATTGGACATATGCATAAGCTAATGAGTCTATATAGTCTATCACATATTTTAATATTAGAATTCGAATGTTTTCTATTCAACAATACCATCCTTTAAAAGATTTCTCATCATATATAGAATATACTTCTATGATATCAATTTGTATTTTTTATCAGAAATTTCTCAATTTTCTAATCTTTCAAACATGTAGCAATAAAGTGTTGTTTAATTTTTTTAAATGTGAAATTTTTTGCATACATCTAGCACGTATCCACGGTCGCTAGTATTGTTTTTCGGTAGACACAACTACTTGCATTGGTGATGTCAAAACCTACTCTATTTATCGCCTTGGCCGTCGAGATTTTGACGTCTCCTGGGCATGCTACATTAAAGAGACCTACTTTATTGTAAGTTCTAACAATCCATCTTAACGGCTACATTAGCTAAGTTGAAAGACAATTGGCCAGCCAATGAAACTAGTCAGGACCAAAGATGGGCCGAATGAGAATATTGGTCTAAGATTTCGTTTGTTTTGCAGGATACACATGATTTGGAAAATATTTTCCTGAAAATAATTATTTGTATCTCTTCAAATAATTAGTCAATAAAAGATATTTTCATTATCGATAACAATTCACGTCGAAACGTTATCGTGAACGATGAAAATATTTTCCATTTATTCATTTTTGTAAGCGATATGAACTATCATTTTTAGGAAAATATTTTTCAAATCATTTCATTTTTCGTGAAATAAATTAAACGAGACCTCCCCTTCGACCCATTTTAATTCCCGGAACCACCCCCCCCCCCCAATGGAAGATTTAATGCCAAGGCTTTCTTTCTTATCACCGTGTTTTTTTTAGAATTTATCAACTACAAGTCAAACTGCTACTAGTTGGTCAACGACCACCATTGCCTGTATTAAGGCTATGCTTGCTTCCGGAAAAAGAATGATTTGAAAAATATCTTATAAATGATCTTTTATATCGCTTACAAAATGACCGAAGGAAAATGTTTTTCATTGTCCATGAATATATTTAGACATAAATTGTTATCGATGATGAAAATATTTTTCATTGGCTAATTATTTCAAGCTATCATTTTTAGGAAATTATCTTCCAAATCACTCATTTTTCGCGAAACAAACGGACCTAAGATTTAATGGCCTGTTCCCAAAAAATAAAAATGGAAAGATCGTCATGGGAAAATGTTTAAATTATCTGTCGGAACGAGCCAATCGGCAATTCCAGCTTGTTTCTGCTGCTCACAGTTATAGTACTTGTAGAATTTTCAAAATGACCACAATTCATTCGACATGAGAAACGTGGCCAAAGTAAAGTGAAATGAATGAGAATAGCCTAAATTCAAAGAGGACAGAAAACCAAAAGGACCTACAATGTGCGAATGCAACAATGATTGTACAGGCACAACGTGGGAGAGAAGAAAAGCAAAGGACGCACCAGAGCCAACATGTTCTCTTGTTACCGTTGCATGGAACTGGTCCATCGGGTTTCACGTACCACAATCGTTAAATTGGATGATGTAAAATCCATGTAAGATGTGCCTAACCTAATCACTAATTGTGATTCACTCAATCCACCACGGATCATTTTCGAGCAAAAACTTTCCACTAACATGCGGTGCAGATGCAACCGAGCAACAAGTGGACAAGAAAAGCGAGCCTTCCTAATTCGCTTGAATTCTATTGCTATTCATTAGCCGTTACTCTTTTATTGTACAACACCCGTCGAAATTGTAAATTTCGCTTTCACTTGTTCTTTAATCTTTATGATTGCATGAAATAACCCAAAAATAACTAGCTAATTATTTGTTCGTTTCTGCATTCATTCCTTGTTCATATTCTTGGTTTCGTTCGTGGTGATTCGTGCCCATTTTTTAATCATATGATTGTCGCGACCTCCCCACATAGGTGTCAACAATGATAAGACTATAGGTCCAGGAATAAATCATTGGTTTATATGTGTATGCGATATCCCTATGACCAAATTGACCCACATTAGAGAATTGCTCTCTACTTCTCAACAAATGTGATATGGATAGTTACACAAATGGTTCTTGAATTTTGGCCCAATGTGTAATGTTGTTCTTGAACTTTTATTTTGTTCAATGAGTCCTTAAACTTTAGCCTAATATGCAATGTTGTCCATGAACCTTTAATTTATTTAAAGTGATTCATGAACTTTTGGTAAATGTTCCATTTGGCCCCTTTGAATACTTACCAAAAGTTCACTGATCACTTTGAACAAATTAAAAGTTCAGCAATGACATTGCGCATTGGGCTAAAGTTCAGGGACGGCATTACACATTGGGCCAAAGTTCAAGAAACATTGATTTCACTTTCCCAATGTGATATAATTCCCTCCTAGAAAAGCGCTTGATTATTCAGCATCTTTCTTGTCTACTTAGTTCATACTTATCTTGCACTTGATCAAATTAGAGGTATTATCAACTACTTTCAACAAGTTTTTAATAACCTCGAGAGACCCTCATCACTCACAGTTAGATCACTTGACTACTCCTCTCGATGAGTTACGACAGTCCTTTGTTTCACCATAACTAGATAACTATCGATAAAGTCATACTTTGGGGAAAAGTGTCAAAAAAATTCATAAATCTTTTGCATTTGTGCCAATTTAGTCCTAAACCTTTGCATTGGTGCCAATTCAATCCTAAACATTTTGTCTTTGTGCCAATTCAGTCCTTTCGGTCAATTTTGGCCAGATTTTGCTGACGGGGACGCTAGCGCGTCCAAGCCAGCAAAATCCGGCCAAAATTGACTGGAAGGACTGAATTGGTACAAAGACAAAAAATTTATGACTGAATTGGCACCAATGCAGATGGTTTAGGATTGAATTGGTACTAAACAAAGGTTTGTGACTAAATTGGCATAAATGCAAAAGGTTTATGACTTAATTAATACAAATGCAAAATGTTTAGGATGTTTTTCACACTTTTCCCTCGTACTTTTTGAGGCTGTCATTGAATATTTAAAGAATGACCCCATCGAGAAAAAGGCCGATAAGCATTGTCCATTTCCATATCCTATCCAATACAACGGCCTCAAGTTTCTGTGTCCATACGGGTAGAATTTTGTTTCTGTGTCAATAAATACGATTTTTTTGCCATGCTAGTTAATTTTAAGAAGTGTGGGTAAGTTCAGAAAAATGCTGGTAAACTATTGATTACTTTTTCTTAGGTAACTAATTGTTAACTTAACAACAATTTTTTTTATCGTTTACACATTAGAATTTTTTATACTAACCTACCAACTTTTATTTGCATTACTTACCAACGATTTGAATTTACTAACTCTAACATGAATTTACCAACTTGAATTCGAGCAAGAAATAGTGGGACTCGCCATGGAGATCGCGTCCAGTTGCCTAGAGGTGGGCTACTACGAGTTCATCAGTGTAAACGGTGGGAGCAGAGAGAGATACCACGTCGACCTGGCGACAAGGGGGATTGGAGGGAGAAGGAAACTGAGGACGCGAGGGCCGAGGAGTGGGCGAGCCTGCTTCAGTGTTGGTCTCTGTATTTACTCAATTGCTTTGCAAGCAAAAATAGATGTCTTGACTTGATGTGCAGGAGAGAGTTTCTGAGAGAATTGTGCAGGATGTGGCGGTGGCAGTCCTTGCCGATTCGATCAAGCTCGAAGGCAGCCGAGGAGAGAGAAAGAGGGTCGGAGAGAGAATCGCACGAGCGGTGCTACAAGATTACCAAGTATGGTGATCTGAAGCTGGAGAGCGAGAGACCACAGAGGGCACTGGAGGAGACATGGTACATGAAGGTGGAGGGGAGGAGAGAGAAGCTGACGTCGGAGGAGGAGGTTAGAGAGAGAGAGAGAGGCCATGGTGGGGTCGTTTAAAGGGAAGGGAATGAGAGCTTCGGGTGTAGGGAGATCAGGAAAGCTGCTCTGGTTTACACCAAGGCATTGGACTTGTGCATGTTGAAAAAACGGGGTTGTGATTCATGGCAATAGGGCTCAGTGTCACTTGCTGACGAGAGAACTGACAGACGAGCGAGAGAGCAGAGCGCAGTCCTTTCTCTGGACAGAGAGAGAGCAAAGAGAGCGGCATAATTAATTCAGTAACAGGAGAGTAATGGAGAAGCATCAGAGAGAGAGAGAGAGAGATAGGGGAGAGAGACTTTCAATATTTTCTGACAGGTGGGCCCAACAGCGACGCGTGTCGCTCACTGAATGGGCTATTTAAAAAATAACGTGGCACAACAGTTGCTCGTAATATTTTCTCGAGCCAAGGCTCCTCACAAACGAAGGACAATCTAACAGGACACATAATCACATTATTATTGGGTGACAAATCTCGATTTTGGTTCGAGTATTATTAAGCGAACGACCAATTAAAATGAGCTAGAGAGGGTAATAAGAGAACCATCTGTCAACCATTGCAAGACATTGTTTGGGTTTATACTCCGGAGCTGTGTGCCCCCCTCCCTGCACCATGGAAAAAAAAAATCAACACAAAAACAGACATATACAAGTGTAAAAGGATAAAAAAAATAATATTTAAAGGAGAGGATTCGATCCTACCTTGATTGTTGTGAATGTCAAATCGTACTTATAATTCTCTGAATATAATATAGAGTATCTGTCCAGACAGATTAAGAAGAAGTTAATACATCTAACATTTTACAACTTCCTGAGCACATGCAATGCACATACTTGCATGGAAAAGGGAAATTTGATAAAAAGAAATTTGATGCGAAAGAAGGAATGAAGCCTTACAAATTCAAAATCGACAGACTTCTTTAATATGTCAGAGCGTCCTAGTATTTTAGACTTTCTATGGTTGACAGGTAAGTTAAGTGATGAATCGGTTTTACACAAAAGCCAATAAGAGTAAGAAATAAGCTCATTAGTGGGGTTCCTTTAAAACCAAGGACTTAGGATGGCCAATTTCTAAAGTCAAAGGCTCAATCCAATTCGGAAGAAGAGCAAGTGGAGAATCCGGAAGTGGGACCAAAGAGAAGTCCGGTCCAATCAGTCTGGGGTCTAACATCCATGTGTCACGGTCCCAAGGTTTCCATGCACCAAAGACCTTGTACGATTGAAGAATACCAGACCGAATTTTCAAGGATTTCTGGAATGTTCCCAGGGACGGGCGATACGATAATTGCGCTGTGTTCTGGAGTCTTCCTGCATTCAATATCAGTAGTTGGTAGATGGGGAGATGCAATCTCCTCCGCTAGATCGAGAGTCGATCAATGGTTGTAACGAGAGGCCCTCTAGTATAAATAGGGGTGCTCTCTCCCTCATTTGTATCCATCCAACAATTGAACCAATACAATTTCATTCTCTCCCAAAGCTCTAAACTCTCTCTCTACGATTCAGGCAAGCGAGTGAGTGATCGAGAAAAGGCTTGACTTAGGGGCTCCAATGATCCAAGAAAGCCTAAGTTGCCGCACGGGTCCAATCCCAAACAACCGACTTGTGACACATGTCTCTGAGTGTTCAGCGAAGAGGGGGCGAGACGTGGGCAATAAGGCAATAGCTACACCCACGTTCTAGAGAGACCACCCCACAATGTCACATCTTCAAAAGCTGGGGAACCCCAATCTATCAAAGTACGTATAAATAGTTTAGAATCAACCATTCGAGGTAAGATATATTTGAGATTCATAAGCTATTATTCTATCACTTTCTCTTCATTTTAGCTCAAACTGACTTGATTATCGAAGGGTCCCAAGCAAATCCATGGTGTGTAGAGTGCGTAGGGTCAAGACCTAGTCGAATGAGAAATTTGTGTGAAGAAGGTTGATTTGTGGGTTCATCCAAATCTGACTGTTATGGTTAACCAAACTCACTATCTTGAGCAGCATAGATAAATTGCAAGCTGATTGTGATTATCTCAATATATCATTAAAGAAAATGGCTTCTATTCCTACTAGTGTATAAAGCAAAATATTACTAATAAATTCAGTCAACAAAATTGTGTTGCATTAGTAATGTGTAACCGACATGACGTACTTTACCATATTGGGAGACAGTCAGAGTGAGTTAATTTATGTTTAGAAGTCTAATTGTGATTTGGTACAATCATTTTAAGCTTAAGTGTGGTTATCAACACAGACAAGTGATGGAATTTGATGAGAAAATATTTCGGTACATGATTAGATCAAGATGTGCCTTGTTGACAATGGAATAAATATGTTCATGATAGAGTGAAGTAGAAAACTACACATTCATGAAGATGATGATCAAGTAATATGAATTCAATAAAAAGTAAAAGTAATCGGTGATCTTAACGGATTAGTATAAAATTATTACCCGGCTACTTGAGCTTCGACGAACCAAGGCGACCACGGACCAAGTAAAGTCAAATTGAGGGATCTTATCCAATCTAGTGTACCAATATATGGGATAGCCAAGTCATGATCACCACTACAAGAGGATTAATTTTTGTCAACAAAAGAAAAAAGTCGTTGATAGAACCAGGATGAGAAACTTATCTATTTAGCTAAGGCAGTACCTGTAAATCAGGGCACGAAGGGATGTCTTAGAGAGGTATCTATGATAGACTACACTATTAAGAACGTCCTTTGTGTAAGATAGAGAGTAGTTGCATCTATCCCACTCTGGCTTTGTGCCCTGAACGTCATTATCACGTAATCAATTTGAGTAAATATAAGAGTGTCGGTGATGCCTATGATGATAATGTTTCTTCATACCTCTCGTATGTGAAGGGCTTCTCGGACATTCCTATCATTGGCCCAAATGTACGAGTACAAATAGTTATAGCTCTGTCGATGGAGAAATTTAAGTAAGTGAAACCATCGCAGTAACTATTTATCAAAATCCATGTGTTCATCGTTTATTGTCTTACACATATAGATAGATGCTATACTTTTAGGTACTGAATCCATGGATTTTGAGGGTGTTAATTTAGGATTTACCCGACACCATGGCCTGGATTGTTGAGGCACCGATACGACGTCGATAATATTCTCTTCCAATACACTTCTGCTCCATTTTAGTCTTGTGTGGTTAGGAGATATGATGCTACACATCGGTTCCAGTATATGAGCCACATATATCTTCTCAAGGCACTAAAAAAATTTGACAAGGAAACATATCTCGGTGATTTATCGCATACATACATCTTGCGTAAGAAAACATGAGAGTGGTGGGACAATAGCACTTACTCTGGATACCATTTCAAGGTCAGTTAGACATGCTCCGTTGGTTGGATCTACATTCACATAATCTCCATTGCAATCCGTTTTCGTTGACTTGAAAACATGAATGCAAACATAAAATCACAAAAACGTCGATTTATATGTAATTATCATTACTAATATATCATATTCTTTGATAATATAAAGATCTTATCAGAGTAAAGGTTACGTTGTAAATTCACCTCATAAAGTTCATCCGATATGAGAGCCGTCTTGTGACCGAATGGAATTCTTTCACTGATGTCCTTTACTTCACAAGTCACTGGATTGCCTAGCACATAGCCCTGTTCACATAACCAGAATGATAATGCTTTACTTAACATAGTTGGCTTTAGTATTAACAGATATGAAGTTCTAATGTTGAGGAAATAGTAACATACGTAAGTTTCAACCTTAGTGTGATATACGAGAAGAGGACACGAGGCCTAACGTTATTAAATGTCGCAAAAGATAATCATATTACAAAAAACATGAATGATTATTGCGTACTTTGAGATTCATCGGCGGCTCCCGTCCAGCTTCATTTCCTATGCAGAAAAGCAAACAGTTTTTTTTTTTTAATGAAGAGAAAATAGCTTCTTGAGAGCAAGAGTGAGACAAAAATCAAGTAATTAATTTGAAAGGAACAATGATATGTGGGTGAAGTTCAATTACGTACCATCGTATACTTCTTTAACGATGATGGGAACAATTACACCGGAATAAGAATCACCAGTGATGTAAAGTGGATTTGTGAGGAATTTGGGATGAGCCATAAGCCACTGCATAAAAAAGAAAAATTAAAGAATTCTACTGGTCTAGGTAATTAGCTAGGATAATTGCCTAGGGGCATCTGACTATTTCGAGGCGACATAGTGTTGGTATTAATCAAAATGATTACCTTTCTTAAGAACTCATACGATTGTGCTGCCGAGGACGTGTCAGTACTATTATATGCTCTCCATGTCGTTGCATAAGAAAATCCCGTACCCACGGGTGCATCCAAAAAAATAATGTTGGCTATCTATCATAAGAAATTGTGACAACTTTTAATCTGGATAAATCTAACAATATTTGAACCCGAGTCGAAAATAAAGGTAATTCACCTTTGTCCAGGAATAGGAATTTAACTTTAATACTGGTCTGTTTCCGCTTGAATTCGAATAATCAAACTGTAATGGACCTGTAACATCAAGATGATTGGTGATCAAAATCACTTGATTGGTTTGGCTTTCGGCCGGTACTTAGATATCTAGTTGATATGGAGTTTTCACTTATAGGAATTCTCGTATGCAAACTCTTTCCCAAACTAAAGTGAGAAAATTGTTTTCCAATTTAACCTAACCGTCACAACGTCAGAGCACAACTAATATCACATTGAGCAGATGGCAAAATTACATAAGCACCCCAAGAATATGACGGCACAAGATATATATAATATCACTTGTTGCGAAATTCTTTATAAATTGACAAATAGTTTTCTTAAAGTTAGAGCTGTCTATTTTAAACAAAAACCCTTGAAAGTATGAAAGTTCACATCTAGGGTAGGTATATGTGCAGACTTTAGTTAAAATGACAAAATTTTCGTTGGGTGAGGGGGCTTTTCACTGTGGATTTGCTTCGTGATTGCACGAAAAGATAAAGGCTATAAACATGTGAGCCCAATTACTATGTACCGCTAGATCGTATGGGTTTCATGTGAAACCCATTTTATCCATCAGTGTATATGAGCTCGGCTCACACGAACTGCTAAATCGGGTGAGTCCCATGTAGGCTCAATGCCTTATAAAGACAAGATCCATTGAAAAAGTGTCTTGGGGACCCACCCGTGCTAAGGCAAACTATTTATCAACGTGTGTAGGTGCAACACTCATAAAGAGTTGGAGTAAATACCGAGAAATTATCGTATGAGTGCCATGTATATACTAAATCGAACATGGACCGTCCTACCAAATCCGACAGTTCAGATTGTAATTTAATATATGGACTAGGTTAATGGAATACTTACTCGTAAGGACTAGGAAAGAGTTTTTACTCGGAATGAGCCAAATAATCAAAAGAATGGTAGTTTTCATTGAGATAAGATCAGATTTTAGTCTTTTGCGGAGGCGAAAATGAGAAGCCGAGAAAATAACATCCATCCAACGTTCTCAACTAATCATTTTTCGTATCTTCCTAACCCCCAACAAGAAATTCTACGGTCTGGTCGTCAACACCCCTCCCCAAAATACGAAAATCCTCCTTACCCACGTTTTTAAAATACTTCTCAAACCAAATTTCGCCTTTCAATTCCAAGGGAGAGACTAGCCGCCACACATACGCACACGACAAAGACGTCATTTTGGTAGAAAATGGACCCTTTCGCAAGTGGAGGATTGAAATAGGACACTTTCGTGAATGTCGGTCTGTCTGAAAGAGAGTCCTTGTCCTCTTCTGGAGCGCGACTATTCTCTTTCGGTGCAACCTACTGCTGGCACGATTTAAGTATAATATCGATGCCTGAATATGATCGATAAAGAAGGAGTCGTACGCTTAGTTGTTGTGCTATAGTGTGCGAGACAATTTATTGCAGGCCTTAGAGCGCGTTTGAGATTTTAAATTTTTATAAAAGGGGTTCCCCATCGCTTGAACTTCATTGTCTAATTAAACATGGATATATGCATGCATTACTCAGTCGCGCAAAAAAAACAATAGGGTTAATATCAACAATAGAATATCCCACAAATTGATACATCTCATAACAAATTTACCCCAAACTAATTTTTTGACCAACAAAGATCCCAAACTGGTACATCTGTGATAAATTTACCCCAATCTGATCACAAAAAATCCAAAACTTGAACATTTATTATAAATTTACCCTCTGTTAAATTCGATTAATGCAAAAAAAAATCCACAAACTAGTACACTTGTGACAAACGGAGAGTAAAATCCCAAACTGATATTTTCGTCAATTGTCATGTATGATTTAACTTAGCAATTTGACAATTAATCCAAAAAAATAAGACAAGAATAGAGACGAGGACGATGAGACACTTTACTATTTCACGTTTGGCTACAATTCGTGTAAAGAAAGATTACTCGGAAGTTGTCTTTTCGCAGACGGATCCCTCTGCTTTGGAGACTTTCTCTCGATTAAAATCGATAAATGTCTCGTGTTCTTTTCGTAGACTCTCTACTACTTAACGTTTGGCTACTGTACATCGTATCATGAGAAGTTGCTACGAGCTCATCGAGATTTTATCAGAACGTCGTTGACGGTGCTTGTGTCCGGGTTCGTTTGCATGTTGGAACTTAGTGGAGCGCATATGAGTGACCCGCCTTAATCATTTTTGTGTTATTTAATGTAAGTACAACCTCACAATCTTCCAAAAGAGAGTGGAAAAAGAAAAGCTACCGAATGCTCCAAATCACGAAACTATAATAATAACGTAGGGAAGAAGAAAAAGAAGAAGATGACGACCATAAGGACGACCGCCACTAGTAAAGGAATTAAAGGGAGAGAACGGACCTATTTCGAAGAGGAGGCCGGACAGAGCGGAGCAACCGGGGCCGCCGGTGAGCCAAAGCAACAAAGGGTCGTCCTTGGGGCTCCTCTCGGACTCGATGAAGTAGTAAAATAGCTGCACTTCCTCCAACTCTCCTACCCCTACATATCTGTGTACCATTTTTGTTGGACCACCGTTCAAACAAACATAAGGAAGAAGACACTCGTATATACGCAACTCAGCGAATCCAGTCATCTGCTAAATTGCAGTTGCTCATAATCATTTGATATGAGCTTACCCTGTTTCGAGTTTGAAGGGAAGATCTCCGGGGAAACCCGGGAGGCTCTCGATGATGGCTGCCCGTGATCCTCCAACGTTGGAGATCAACAGCAGCAATGGAAGCAGGAGATGCAACATTCTTGGCTTGTCCAACCAAGAAAAATGGATAAGAAAAGAGAGTGTATGAATGTGTAAGATTCCTCCTTCCTCTGTGTGGATTTCTAAGGGTTATGTAGGCCTCACGGCATCTTAAACTGTCCATCTACTAGTCAAAATGCATGTGCACTTTGACCTATTTGAGCAATTACATGTTAGGGATGGGGAAAGCATTGCTACTCGTCTATGAAATTGATTTACAAAACAAGGAGATGGATTGGAACTAGGTATTCAGATATGTAGGCCAACTTTCAAACGAATCTTCTTATGTTGATTTACAAAATTGATTCATAGAGTGACGTAATTGATTCGAATTCGACGTTTTAGGGGACATTTGGGAAATATACACTTACAGATAGAAGAATTTCGTAAGTTAATCTTTATATATTTGGTGCCATTCCATTGAAGCGCTTAATATAATAAAAAAACTCCATGTCAATAACTTAATTTTGCACGTTGTCTATATTATTATATAAAGTAAAAAGGACCTCTTCCCAAAATGTCCTCGATTACTTATTTTACAAATATTGAATCCATGAGGAAATACGTAACTTAAAGATTCTATATAATCTCTCACATATTTCAATAGTTAGAGTTTGTATATTTCCTATCCAAATAAAGCCTCTTTAAAAAGATTTCAAATCTTGAAATATTTGGATATTTCCACATATATTATATATTTCCATTGTCAATTTGTACTTTTATCAATAATTTCTCATTATTTAATCATTCAAATATTTAGCGATTAGTGTTGTGCTTAATCTTTCGAATTTGAAGTTTCTGTAGATACACAACTTGTAGCCACATTTGCTAGTCTTTGGTAGGTAAAGATTACTGTTTGCATCAATGATATCAATACCCTACTCAAGAAGAAGATTTCAGGCATTAGATGATGTGAATCTCACGGGAGATTCATATGATCCGTACAATAGCCGACCGCGATTCACTCGGTCCATCACAAATCAGGTCCGAGCACAAATGTTGCACTAAATTGAGGAGCTGATGCAGCTGAGCGACAAAACCGACAAGAAAAGACAGCTCCCTAGTTTGCTTGAGTTCTATTGCTACACATTAGCCGTTCTCTTTCACAGTAGGACGCCGCTCAAAACAGTAAAATTCCACAAAATGGCGTTGTCTGTATGCATGAAACTTTGAGCGTTTGTTTCCACATACTGGTTAGCTTTCGGGTCTTTCTTTATTATTCCTCATGATTGTACGGAATAACCCACTAGCTAGCCAATTACTTGTTTGCTTCTGCAGACATTCCTTGTCGATCTTCTTGGTTTCACTAATCGTGATTCCTGCCCATTCTTGATTCGTAGGATAAGTCCAAGAATAAATCGTTAGTTTATCAACCCACGTTGGAGAGTCGCTCTCGAGTCCTCAACAGATGGGATTAATTCCTTCTCGGGAAAGCACTCTATCATTCAGCATCTTTCTTGTCTGCTTAATTAATTGTTTTCTTGCACCTTAATCAAATTTGAGGTATTCTCAGCTACTTTCCACAATTTCTTTTAACGACCTCAAGCGACCGCATCACTCACGCTTAGATCGCTCGACTACTCATCTCGATCGGTCATGATGGTCCTCCATTTCATTCATCGTGATTCATGCCCATTCTTGATTGGTAAGATAAGTCTAATAATAAATCATCGGTTTATCACCCACGTTGGGGAGTCACTCTCGAGTTCTCAACAAATGGGATTAATTCCCTCTCGGGAAAGCGCTCTATCACTCAGCATTTTTCTTATCTGCTTAATTAATTGTTCTCTTACACCTCGATCAAATCAAAGGTATCATCAGCTACTGTCAACAATTTTTTAAACGACCGCATCACTCATATTTAGATTGCTCGACCACTCCTCTTGATAAGTTATGACGGTCCACCGTTTTGCCATAACTAGATAAATGAAGTCATGCTACATGAGGTTGTCATTGAAAATTCAAAGCACGACTCCATCTTCGTAGCCATTGAAAAAAGCCTAGAAGCATTGTCAATTTCCATACTCTATCCAACACAATGGCCTAAAGTTGGCATAATTTAATTGTTCCATATCAACAAGTATGGATTTTTTTTCCACGCCGGTAAATTTCAGTAAGTGTCAAAAAAGCTGTTGGTAAGAAAAATTATCATTGACTTTTTTCCTGGTAACTTGTCAACAATTTACGACGTTTTTATCAAATTACCAACTTTTTCCTTATAATTTGCAGTTTATCAATTTTTGTACTGATTTACCAACTTTTATTTGTACAACTTACCAATGCTTCAAATTTACTGACTTCTATATGAAATTACAACCTGAGTGTCGTTTGAATTACTTACCAAAATTTAATTATGTTATTTTTATTTACCGACTTTTCAATTGAGTTATCAATTTTTGTTTGCCTTGATTAGCAACTCCTTATATTTACTAACTCTCTAGAGATTACTAACCTTGTTAATGTGACTTATCAACTTTTCTCTCGTCAAACCATCACTAACACTACAAAAAAAAAAATATGGGCTAATGCCTTAGGCAAAGGCGACAAATTTCTTTTTGGCATGAATTAGTTGTTGCGTTTGCTCCCTTGACTCTTGTTATAGGCAAATTTTGTCGCCTGCGTGTCGTGTTAGATACATTTTTTTTTTGTGTGTTAGGCGTGGTGATGAAAATAAAGCCTTAGACTTCGCTCATTTGTTTTTAATTGAAATTCGACTACAGCTATTGTGGGAAAAAAACTACCAATTCTGTCTTGAACTTATTATACGGATTTTAATTCAATCATAAACCCTTCAATTTTGTAAATATCGTCCTAAATTTTTGCGTTCAATTTTAATATAATCCTTCCAACTAATTATAGCCTAAAAATGTTGATGTATCGGATTAATCACCAGCTGTCTTATGCGGCACGCCGGCCAGTTGTTTTATTAGTTTTCTGGATTTTCTGAGTTTTTTTTTTCCTTATTTTTTCTATCTTTTTACCGTTCATCTTCTTCGGTCATCTTCATCTTCAACCTCTGTCCTTCTACCGTGAACGCCGGTCTTCAACCTCTGAGGACGACGATCTGCTCGAAGCCTTCGCGCGTTCAGCTCAAATTCGAGAAGCAATTGGACGATGTCGGCTCGACCCTGTGCGACGGCCAGGTCAAGCAATGTCCGGCCGTGCTCGCGTCGACCAAGTCCGCGAGCTTCCGAGCTGGGTCGGTCCGCTCCAGCACCTCCCTAATCCCGTCCATCGGACCCCTTGGGCAACGAGTTGAAACCCAGATCTGTCCTCGAGCTCCGTGTCGTGGCTGAGCTCGAGCCTCCCAGATCAGGGGGCTCGAGTTCTGGGTTCAGCTCGCCGAGACCTGCCCCTCCATGACCACCCCCAATGGTCCCGACTCCCCACCAAGATGAGTGGCAGGAAATCAAGATGATCGGTAGCAAAACAACTGATGTCTTATGCCTTTCAAATTTGATTTCAATTCGACAAGCCAGTGATCAAATCGACGACCTCAAATCTTTGTCATCCTCATTGGCTTTTGGAGTAACAAAATTGCATCGAAGGAAATTACCGCATCTGTTGGACTGGGCTAGAAGCAATTTTACTGCTCCAGCGAGAGAAGAAAACTTTCCTCGTGAGCTTTTGACGTTCGAGTTTGCTAAAATATAATTACTGATGCAGCTAACTTCAAGACATGCCTAGTCTCGAATTACATATGTCCACAAATCTCTCCCAAAATGAACTGATTGCATGAAATGAATTACAAGAAGGTATTATTCGAAATAAATCTCCCGACTTAAGCGCTCTTTATTCGCCGAAATGATCCTCGGGACGGCGGACCCGACTAGATAGGGTAACGAGCCATGAACCGGTCGAACATGGCGAGTGTTTCCTTGTGCTTGTACTCTGGAGCTGTGTGACCGGCGCCCTATTTCACATAAACCATGGAGTATTTTTCAGTTTCGTTTCGTTCCTTGTCTCATGAACTATGAAGAAGCGAGAAAGGAAATTCGATTTTCTGCTCTCACCTTCACGGTCACGTAGGTCAGACGGAAGTGATCGTTCATGAACTTCACTTGGTACCTGGAAAACAATCAAGGATTGCATAACATTAGGACGGGCATTTGGCTCGCGTCAACTTCAACAGCAGTTTGCATTTCGGCAACTTACCCTGAAATTTGTCCATCGACGTACCACGCCCTCCATTCGTCGAAGACAGGCACTCCCAAGGATTTTATCCAGCTCAGGGTTCCAATCCACGGAACTGAGATGTCGTGGTCTCCACTGCGAGGTACAACATACACAGAGCATGAGCATGGGCTTTAATATCAAAGATGCAACCAATTGTTAATTATGGCCATTTTGTTTCAGTACACCTATACTCGATAAGGGTTACTTCTTCTGGTTCACTAAAAACTAATCGAATTCAGATCAAGAAAAGCGCCCGTGCTGGGCTTTTTCTGAATCATTTGTCTCGGCTAACCCATGAACAAGCAAGGATTTGATCCAAGTGAGCAAAACAATCAAGGCAACAGAATTATGTCTGAAGCCGCATATATCCACTATGATCACAGGGTTGAAATATTCACTTTTCATATCAAAGTGTGCTGGGCAGTCGGCTAACTGTACTGTTCTGGTTAACCGTTTTTTGATGTGAAAAGTTATGTTACCTATATATGAGAGCACGGAGACCGGTCTCTGAGAGATTTTTGTGATAGGCAACGGTACTGGTGATTTCGTCGGTGTAGGTTGAGAAGTTTTTCGGGCATCTTTTCCATCCATCTGAAGGGACACTTTCCTGATTGGAAGTTTTCCAAAATGTTAATGAACCTATCCAGGAAGTCACGGTAAATTACTCTTGTTTGCAATTCATTGACATACCGGTCTGACGTACAAAGCCTTTTGCACACCTTCATCATTCAACCACTTGTAGGCCATCACATAGGTAAAACCCTGCATAAACCATCAAACAAGCTTAACAAAAGCTGATTGAGAATAAGGAAAGAGGAAGAGGAAGAGGAGAAGTCTTTTTACTCTGCACGGCAATTCGGGAAGTCTGTTGTTGGAGAGGATATGATTTATAGTTTCTGCTTCTTGAACTCTCAAATCCCATTCCAACTCCCTCCGTCTCTTAGATGAGAAGGCGCATTGCGGTTCCAAGATTTGGCAGAGATTGATTTGTAAAAGGCACTGCATAAATGACACAATCGATTGGATCGGTATCAGCACCCCGGCACAATGACATTAAGGCACAAAAAGGAAAAGCCAATGTGGCCAGTATGCTCGCTCAGGATGAGCAGGACCTCTTTGATCAATTGCAGTGTTGCTACGCAGGCAGTATTGTTTGCATCCACGTCGACGTAATTGCCTCCGCAATATTCTTTGGCATCCTGAGAGAAATCAGAATCGATAAGTTCAATGTATTCGGTAAGTGGAGAAATATTGACAAGTGAAGCAAAAAATGAAGTGATATAAACAAGAAAAGGTTACTGAATAATATGATATGAAGCATCTCTTATCAATTCCTATGCCGGACTACAAGATTTGAGTTTCTTTTGGTAAGGATCTCTTTTTGGTTATCTTGAGCTCAACATTATACCAGAAAATCATAAAGCAGAAAGACACCCCAAAACCAAAAAGTGTCCTATTTTAAGCAGAACCGCACCTAAATATATTGCACTCAGAAGACATGCTGTGCTTTTCATGTCTTTCTAATTAACAATCCATTCATGCAATCATTTTATGAAACCACTTTCCAACACGAGAAAAGGAGAAGCACACAATAGAGCGTTAGGAAAATTTTACCTCATAGTATTCATCTGATATAAGGTTCACACGATGAACATACGGAATCCTTGAATTTGGATCAGTGAAGTCATCGGTCACTGGGTTCCCGAGCAAATACCCCTATTCAAAAGTTGAATCAAGAAAAAAAAAAACTTGTTAGGTTTCGCTCTGTGCATATACATGTTCAACTCACTCTCCGGGCTCAATAAATTTGGTCAAGGCTAAGCCAAGAAGAAGAAGAAAACATACTTGGAGTTCCATCTTAGGCCTTAGTCCTGCCTCTAGGCCTGCAATCCCACGAAATCAGCTTAAAGTTTCTGTAGTGAATCAGCAAAAAAAGAAGAGGCGACATGAACTGTGTAAAAAGAAGCTACCTTCCAGTATATATGTCACCAAAATAGGAACAGTAATGCCTGAGTATGAGTCGCCGCCAATGTAAAGTTCATTTCCTAGGAATTGCGGGTGAGAAAGGAGCCACTGAAACATAAATCAAGCATAAGTCTTGTCATCAGTGATATGATCAGATGACAACTTTAGGCAATAGCGGCTCAATCTCGTGTACTAGCAAATAATGTCAATTGACATCTATTAGTACCTTCCTCAAGAAAGTATAAGTCTGGTATGCGGATTTTATGTCAGAGCTGTATTTACCCTCTTCGGTTGTCGAATATGAGAATCCAGCTCCCACGGGCGCATCGATAAATATTATGCTGGCAGCCTACAGTCAATTTACGACAAGATGACGAAAGAGTCGGGGTAATCCCAGAATTTACTGAAAATTTCCACGAGGAAAGGGGGGGATCTTTCGCACCTGGGTCCATGAGTATTTGTTGATTAGAAGAGAGGGTAAGCTGCCATTGTAAGCTCCATAATCGAAAGTCAAAGGACCTGCACAGAAGTTTCAAATTCAAAATGATTGAAACTATTTTCTCGGTATGATTCTCTCTGTTTGGCTCGTTTTTCTTATATTCCAGCAATCTTTACTTTTCAGGGCTCATTCCTAATGCAAGAGGCCTCATAATAAGAAGAAAGAGTGCATGTATCAGGAGTACGATCTTTCTTTCAGAGTCCCACTTCAACAAATGATCTTGTATGTGTTGGCTAACATAACACACGAGGAGGTGGTTTTATTGCTGGAGCATGAAAAAATTTTGCTCGAGGTAAGATCCTTATTAGGCCGTAATCCAGAACTGACTGATCTGGTTTTCCAGTAGCACTTGGACTGAGTGATTTTTGTTTACCTTACCTTAATTACAAGATGGAAGATCAAGTACACTACGACATGTAGAAGAACCAATTTATGTGGTCCACGTGAAACTTCGCACGTGTGTTCATATATTGCTCGAACATCACTGTTAGAAGTATCTGAATTCAACACAACCCCAATTCTAATTCCAACATGTCACTGTCACTTATAGGAACTAAATTCGCATCGTTCCACTCTTTCTTTAATCAGATGAAACAAACCATATCCACAACTTTAATTCCATGAAAATAATGTAGACTTCATCAATATTCAGTTGCAAAGAGTTAAGATGAGCATGTCCACTGTTTCATTATCTCAAGTAGTAACATTTGGCATAGTGGGAACTCTTCCCCGTCCCTAACACCTACTCCTTCTCTATTTACAATAGTGCATCACAATAACATTTATGCAGGTCCATGACTGGTCCTTATCGATTATGTGCCTGATCTGGCTAAACACATTATATCCTTGACTCAAATTCTGTCCCCCAAAATCGCAGAAAGAAAGTAATGTACATTTCACCTGTCTTTCAAATGCTAAAGGTCCTACCATACTTGTATTTTGCCACTCTTAGGAAACATAAGGGAAAGGAAAAAAGGAAACACAGAGAAACACCGACCGATTTCGAAGGCAAGGGCAGAGAAGCCAGAGCAGCCAGGGCCACCGGTGAGCCAGAGAACAAGAGGATCCTTGGCAGGGTCTCTCTCGGACTCAATGAAGTAGTAGAACAGCTGCACATCATCCATTGCATCCACCCCTATGTACCTGCAGTTTCCATCGATATCCACACTCTGAATTATCCCAAACAAAGCAGGGAAAAAGTTCGGTAAAAACCCAACAAAGCATCAATGCAAGCACCGACCCTGTTTCTAGCGTGAAGGGGAGTTTCCCATGAAACCCAGGAAGAGTCTCTACTATGTTCTGAGACGTTGCAGCTCCAGCAAGGAGCAACACCAGCAACATGCTCATCCATTTCTCGCCAATTTGGCTTCTTGAATCGAACCCCATTGGCTTCTGCTTTCGCCTCCCCACTTCCAAATGCTCTTCTTTTCTTACGTGGTGCCTTTCCCCTTGAAAGAAACTAAAAGGAAATGACAAAGATTTTGTATACGGTCCAGTGAGCTCTGGGGGACTCACTGGTGACTTTGGCCGGTGCAACGTATCGATGAGTATGAATTTGGGTGCTTTAAGCGTTCCATGTATGGAGCAAAGAACTTAAAATGGAATGGAGCACGTGGACTGGTTTTTGCGGGGGAGGTTAAAATGAATGTTAGGTGCAATCTTGAGCCGGTCCAGCTCACCTTCAACTCTCGCTGTGGCAGCCTAGGACACTGTTTCTTGGCTGCTCATTCAAAGCGTGTGACTTGGCTCTATGTATTTTTTCCAGTCTGTGACTACCTGATTCAACAAACCTTCTACGTTCTAGCAATAACCTGGCAGGTGCGAGTGGTCTTGGATTCCTAGCAAACTCTAGATTTTAGATTCATTTGTTTTATCATCGTTCATCTTCTCCTAAGAAATAAGAGGGCCTTTTGGGAAAATAACGGGGATAATGACACTAACAGTCCATGAATTTTGGCACAATATGCAACGTAGTCCCTGAACTTTTAATTTGTTCAATGTCGTTCCCTAAAGTTTAACCTAATGTTCAATGTGGTCCCTGAACTTATAATTTGTTCAATATTGTCCATGAACTTTTGGTACATGTTCAATGTAGTCCCTGAAATTGAATTAGTGGAAGGACTACATCGAATATTTTCATATAATTCAGGGACTAAATTGAACATGTACCAAAAGTTTGAGGACGACATTGAACAAATTAATAGTTCGGAGACCATATTGCACATTAGGCCAAAGTTCAAAGACTGTTTGTGTCATTTTCCCAAAATATAATTCGATCGATTAGGTCCTTGAACTTTTCTTGTGCGATCGAGTTTCGAACCGGGCGGCCTTTTTTCGCGGGTCATTAGCACATTTGAATATGTCACGAACATCGCGAATCAAGGGATTTCCGTCGATTCTTTCACCGGTTTCATTGCCCGGAAATAGAAACCAAACTGTTCCCTTGGGTCTGTTCCCGCAGGATTTGCACGTGGTATTCCTACCAGTCTTTGCACGGGTTCGGTACTATACAATAGAATAGACGACGGCCCACGGAAATTATTTTAATTCCAAGACTGATTACGGTAATTAATAATCTATTAAGTTCTAATACTTCGTATCCTAATCAAAGCAGATGCCCTTCGTATGTTCAAATCTAGCAGTTAAGTTTATCAGATTTAAACGTGTGCGAAAAGCATTGACTGACATTGTCCAAAAAGTCCTCGATCTGTCGTACGGCGGCCAATTTAGTCATAAATATTTTGATTGTGTTAATTTAGTCATAGACCTTTTGAAGTTCTGCGAATTTAGTCCCGAACCCATTATTTGGATAATTGGCTGAAATGACTACATTGACATATCGTCAAAAAATTTAGGACTAAATTGACAAACCGTCAAAGGTTTAGGACTAAATTGGCACAATTAAAAAATTCGGGACTAAATTAGCAAATCGTTCGAAATTTTATAACTAAATTGGTACAACTGAAAGATTTAAGACTGCATTGGCCGCCGTACAATAGGTTTAGGATTTTTTATGTCAATTTAATCATAAATCTTTTAAGAATCTATCGATTTAGTCCTTCCAACAATTTTAGTCGGAAATTGATGACGTTGACACTGGCCGTCCTGCATGGCATAACCGGTACTGACGTGGACGATTTTTGCAATCTTTTTTTTTAATAAATTTTCCAATTTTTTTATCTCTTCACCGTCCTATGTGGGGATGACATCTTATGTACGCATTCGAGAAAATATTATTAAACGTGCAAATCTTTCGCAGATGGTCATCGATTCGCCCCGGATGAATGTACTTTTTTCCATATGGCTGACTTCTTACAGGTAACCAAAGAGTCAATCAATCGGGCGAAGGACCACGTGATGATTAAGAAAATAAGGAAAGCTTAACCAAAATAAGGAGGTGCACGTTGCACAGTTGCACCAACCGAAGGGATCGCACGACCTTAGGTCCTCCTTTCAAAACTTTGAAGCAAAGGTTTAGCTACCCTTTTCGAGCAGCCCCCTTCAACCGTCGCACCGGAGCAGCTACGGATGGCGACGGGACAAGACGAGTTTTTCAAATCTCTATCTCCTAGAAAATTTGATGGGGTTTGGGTCCGCTCACTGATTCGTGCTCGAATTGCCCTTTGCTCAAAGTCAAATCACGCGTGCTTATTGTTCGTATTACAATCTCCCTATCTAACCTATATTGGCAAAGCGGCAGCAAGGTCGAAAGTCTATTTCATTATCAGGGAACTTGGGCTCGGCTCGAGCAATGTTCGCAATTCGAATCAGAACCGAAGTAATAGTAACGATGGTGTTTAATGCGAATATGTTTAGAACTTCTAATCTTATGTGTTTGTTCGCAAAAGAAGACTTGTTTAATACAGGAAGCCGAGGGTATTTTAAGGGGAAAAAGGGAAAGAACCGCTAAGGAAATATGGTAAGATGATATAATTTGTGGGTTTCACAATGTCAACTGGGCAACCTATGCTATAAATGATGTTTCTTCGCTCGAATCTTTTTTTGTGTTTAAACGGTTAGGTGGTATCCAAATCAGTTTCACGTAGCTCAACTGACCCAGCTCTTCGGGCAATGTTAAAGGCTTGCTCTTCCATGTCGGCCCGGTCTATTCAGAATTTTTCTCCCAAAATGCTCTCAACAGAGATTGGAGGTGGAGTGGTCGGGAATTGAGGCAGGAGTGAACCATCACATGAGCGTGATCGAGTGTAGACCCATGCAAAATGGGGGCGAGAATAGTAGCTGCGTTGGGCTTTCAATGTGATGCGGAGTCTTGTCTTTCAATGTTATCATATGTCCAATAGCAAATCAAAGACAAGCAACGGGGATTGGACATCTTTCTTTCTTTCTGGAAAGGAACATCAAGAAGAAGGTTTGGTATGAACGTCAGCCTCCAACCAATCACACAAAGGGGGAAAAAAGGGCAAATGATCAAATGAAATTAAATGTGATCCTTTTGCAAGGGTCGATGGAGGTAATGCAAAGCATAAACCGAGCCTCGTAAATAGTAGTTATCCGATGGTAAAGAGGAAAATGACATAAATAATCCATCAATTTTGGCCCGATTTACAATGTTATACTGAAACTTTTAATTCGTTTGATAGGGCTTTTGAACTTTTATTAAATGTTCAATCTAGTTCCTAAATATCTAATTTGTTTAATCTAGTCCCTCAACTTTCTATAACAAAATTGAATCGATCCTTTGGTACTATCCAAAAGTTTTCATAGCTACACTATTGCCTAGATTTCATATCATCTTTTAATTCTAATCTATTTCTTGAATTAACAAATGATATGCTATCGTTTTTCTCACCTTTGGATCTTTATAAATATAATTATAGTTCCATTTGAGTATATTTTAATTTTGATCTCTATAATAGTAAAATAATAGCATTATATAGAGTTATATTGGATTCATATTCCTTTTATTTTTAAAATAAGTATTTTCTTAATCATATTTAATACGGATATTAATTTGTTTGTAATTTTCTTGTAAAATAGTAGGAATATCAACCCAATATAACTCTGGATGAGATTCTTAACTGGAAGCACAGTAGTATTTATAAAGATAAAAGGTAATTTTGAAAACTTTTAACTTTTTTAGGGAAAGTTGAGGACTAGATTGAAACAAATTGAAAGTTTACTTACCACATTGAACATTTATGAATGATTCAAGGACCATATTAAACGAATTAAAAGATTAAGAATGACATTACACGTTGAGCAAATACTACACCTGGAAAGGATTGTGTTCAAAAGTCAATCAACAAGCTTGAGCCGCTGCTTATATATCATACATCATCGACATAAGCCATTCTAGATTTGAGCTCTCATGAAATACAAGAGTTAGCCATTCAAGATTTATATTTCCATAGAATAAGTAAAACTCATCATGGACGAAGGACAAGTATGGTGTCCGTGGGCAAAGACGACTAGATCCATTCCCTTCCTCCCTAAGGTTCGAGGGCATTTTATGTGGCACAACACCCCGCCCTTAAATTCATGACTTAAGATTTTGGGTTGGACAATGCAGGCCTTTGCTAGGGCAAGTCAAATCACCATCCGCACGTCGATTGATGCCGAAGGAGTATTTCACTTCGGATTACATGGCAAGGGAGAACGTGATTTGCAGGATACAACTTTTCTCGTCATCAAGAAACAAAGATTTATTCAGACATCCACTGATGAACTATGGATAAAGTCTCTTGGTTCGACAATCGACACGAACCGGAGGGCATGGTTTGTTGATGGCCAAGTAGTAGAGTAAGCTCAAATGTTACTTAGTCATTTTGGTGGGAAAATTATCATAAAGGTCTTAAATTTATTATATTTGTGCCAATTCAGTCATAAACATTTGTTTCTTAAACTCTTCCATTGACAGTGTTGGACCAAACCCATGGAGCTGTCAAAACGGCAGTGACAATTCCGCAAAGCACCGCCGCAGTGGCTGCACAAGGCGCTCGGTGTTCATTTAGTTTGTGCACAATGAGAGTACACGGCAAGAAATTTCCGATGCTAACGATCTTTTTACATTTTGGCTGACTGTCTAGTTCATATTGCGTTTATTTGCAACCACCGGAGAGACTGGATTGCTAAAATGAAAGGAAGCTTGTTTACTCATGACAAAGGGCCGCCTGATAAAATGCGATACTCATTAGCACACTCCGGAGGACTACGGTACAGATTTGTACTACTAGTGCTCTTCAATTTTTGTTATTGCGATAGTCAAAACGATACAGATTACTGGCTCTGATGATACAAGGAGAGAGAGCACATTATGGTACTGTCCATAATCCAAACCGACAACTAGAGAGGATAATAATGGACCCATCTCATAAACATTTCGAAGCATTCTCTTCTATAATATTCTGGAGCTGTGTGTCCAGCACCCTACAAAGGACGCAAAACCACGTTGCTTCAATTACTCCATTCGCTTGTGAAAGTAAACGCTAGGCATCAAAACAGCAAAACGAAAAGCCATAAAAAGAAAGCAACATAGAAGTTGCATACCTTGACTGTAGCATAAGTTAATCGATATCCATGTTCTGAGTATTTCTTCGTGTATCTGCAGTTCAGCGATCTAGGACTTCAGCTCAAACTCGTTAAAGTGGCAAAGACTACATTGAAAGAGAGAACTCACCCTGCAACTTGACCATCCACAAACCACGGTCGCCAGTCATTTACGACCG